TGTGTTTTCTTCTATAAATAAATAAATTTATCCTGAGATTAACTTGGCTGCAGTTAGTTACCCAAATACTAAAAAAAAATTAAAAAACATCTTTGAAAACTTAATTAGCATATTTTGGCAAAATGAGATGATTCCTTAGAACAAAAATTTAATGATGTGGGGAAATTCACACTATCAAATACATACTATAATTTCTGTGTATTACTGCAAACATGACACAAACATCTGGCTTAAGGATACACAACTCCATTTTCATGACTTCTAAGCACAATTAATTCCAATGGAACACCATGGAGGCTCTGTAATAGCTTGGCAACCTCTCAAAGGAAAAACTGTGACATTATTTAATATTCCTAAAGCAAAGTGAAGAATGAGCCTAGACTTATTAAAATAGAGGTAACAGATGAAACACAATATTCTCAGGGCTTCATTCACAGATAGGCTTACTTCACTTTTATTGTCTTATAAACCTAACCAAACTTGTAGCATTAAAGAAAAAAATAATCTATTTTGACTTTGTAAAGTATCACTTGAGTAACTAACTTTGTGAAGGATGAAACATGACATGAAAGAAGTTTCATTCTAAGAGACCACTCTGTAATTTCAGACCACTCCTGTTTATGCTGGGGAATTTACTACAAGCAGTCTGTAGAGCAGCATGTGACTCAAGCCACTGGGAAATTCATGTTCAACAAACTGGAATAAAATACTTAGAACAATAAAGAAGTCTAATTTTTTGTTTTGTAGTAAAGTGTGAATAGTACTTAATATTCCCAAATCAGCAAAAGATAAAAACAAACTTTAGGGTAAATGCACCTAAGGAGATCTGTATCTAAAGTCACCTGTGACACTGCTTAAAAGCACACAGAGAGTGAATTGTCCCACTCAAAATTATCAGATTTTCCTCACTCCTTTGCTCAAGTCCCTATTTTCTCTCATCTCCCTTTTTTGTTCTTCAGCAGGACTGTTAGAATTTTCCCAGCTTCTCGACTGTTTTCTATTACATGCAAGGGAGTTTCATGGAGGGAAGAGACCTTTCCCCAGCGTGCTGTTTCCCCACTCCGAACACAAGATAGATAAGGACAAGGCTAAGCAGACTGGCTTGCGTAACACGTTTGAACATGGCTACACCCCAAATACCCAGACTGCACTTTTGCCTCTTGGTAAAGGGTTAGGGTACTATGCTCACTCTTCTCTGAATGCTATTAAGTGCACCTTAGCCCAGAACCAGACACTTACCCTGCCCTGTGCATCAACTGCTCTTAAACATAAAGACCCTGAGAGCCTCAGAAGCCCTAAAATCAAGAACTGATAGATGATCTAGGAGCATATACAGGCATGCCATTTCTGCATTTTCCTAAACAATTTTCACTGCTTACAAAGAGAGTTTGCAGCAAGATTCTGAGTAAGACAAGTCTCACATTAAGGTTCGAAATTCAGAAGTAGTAGCAGCTCAGCCTAATAAACATTTTTATATCTGAAGATTAACAGTCATAGATTCCCCTAAGAGCTTTAAATGGTATCCTGTTTCTGCAAGAAACAGGAACTGATACTTGACTACATTTGATAACCCTTTATAGTAAACAACTCCAAAAACTATTTCTCATTAGCTTTTTATTTTTCAGTTATATTAGACACAACTGTAGTTAAAAACTTAAGTCCTATATTTTAAGTGTGATTTTCAAATTAGCTATCACATCAGCATTTGGACAATGCACTAAGTTTGAGGGTATTTGTCTTCCAGTTACTCTAAAAATAAAAATACTTCCCTTTATCTGGGCAACAAAACAGCATTCAATGCAATGAACCTATCTATCAGCAGTCTGTAAGGCCAAATCCAGATTACGCGTATCACCAACAGATACATCGAGAATCATAATTAAACAGCAACGAATTTCTTTCCTTTTAAAGTACATCTGTGGTATTCATGTGTTTTCACTGCTTTAAGTTCTTGGTTTGCTTGGACAATTTTAGTAGATGACTTAGTTCATATGTTATTTGGCAAATAGTTCTTTTGTTTACTATTTAAGTTTTCAGAAGTGTTCTTCTAGCACATATTATACTGAAATGCATAAATTGTCACGTGTATTGTCTGTCCACATATTCACAGTTGCACTAATTACTTCCCTTTTCATTTATGCCCATATAAAAGTTAGGTAAGGCAACTGCTTACTCAGAGAAATTTCAACATAATTTTAGCTGCTGCTGACTGCCATTTGAATTGGTAAAAATACAAAGATGAGACAGTACTACGTGACAAGGAAATATTGCTAGTAAATCTGCAATACTGAGAACTCTCCTACTAGTAGGATTTCACCACTTTTACTTATAACAAACGTCATGAAGTTAATAGGTTTGGTTTTGCTTTAGGTTAATTGGACCTTCCCCATCCAAGTATGACACCATAATTCTTAATTGACAAAAACCTTTTGCCAAATTTAATCTGATCATTTCTGTATTTCTGAGCATGGTTCCTTTTTAACATTCAGAAGAACTCTCTCAGTTTTGCATCTCAATCAAACTTTCACACATTCAACCAGAAACATGAATCACACTAGCTATTTCAGGGAACAGTGCACAGCTATAGTGGCAGGGGAAGTGTGCCATCCACCAGATCACACTGACACAGAGGTCATAATAAAGTAATGTGTGAGATTAAAGGTAAGTTTATTTACTAGAACCAAATACTTTTATTTTTTTTAAGAAAAAACCTGCACCCATTTGCTGTCAGGAAATTAATGACTTCTGTGCTACAGACTGCTAGAACATCAAAACATTTTTTGCCATTGAGGCCCTAATCTGCATTACACTTATGATAACTTAAAGCACCATTTTTTTTTCTGCCTGCAAGAAAATGATATGAATTTGACAATCTTTCTAAACTTACTGCTGAAGTACTGCCAACCCAGAGTGTTCACCTAAGTCAGGACCCACAAAGTAATTAGGATTTCAAAAGTATGGCAATTTTGAAATCAAGTGGGAATGCATTTATGTATTTATTTTTACTTCTCCTTCAGTTACAAAGCAGGAAAAACCCTACGTGCATTTCATACCTCATTGCATAACTGAAAAACCATCAACTTTGAAGTACTTGTAAGTTAAGAGCTTAGATGACCATAAAATTCATTAATTGCAAGAGGTAGACCTTTGTGAAAAACAGCAAGTATTAAAAAATTACAGTAATTACAGATAACATTTTTAAAGTGTTTAATCAATTTACTTGGCTATTTTCAATAGTGTTTATGTAGCCAAAGTTTCCCTCTGTTTTATTTCCTGAGTAGTAATACCATAAAGTTGAAATGAGGAAGGTGCACATCCTGTTGGAAGATTTAGGAGAGCAAGTGTCATAAATTATTTAAATAAATAGCTTAAGAAGGCAGGTCTTTCCAATGTAAAAGTGGTTTTATTTTTTTTGTAAGATTATTTAACCCAAGCCTCCTGAGGTAGTTAAGTTACAGTAACTGTACTGAAAATTGTGAACAAGTGTGCAGAAGTAGCCTGTAATGCTGGACCTCCACTTTCCCACCTTTGCTATGCTGTTTAGCACTTAATTTCATGCATAAGACCTTTCACTTATGATTTAATGGTGTACCACTGAAGACTAGTCCCTTATGGTCTATACTAAGTAGCAGAAGCTTTAAAAGCAACTAGCACACTAAAATGTAATAAAGAATTTTAATGTATTATTCAGTAAGAAGGGGTACAGCTTACTGAGTAAATGCCCCTTGTTGAAGTGTACATTTGCTACAGCAAATCAAGCAAATACTAAAGTCTTTAGCCCAGCATATGCAGTTACTCCAACACTTTAACATTTTTTTGTTAAATATGGTTGAGCTTTGCCTTTCTGACCCTCTCATCTACCAGAAGTTCATCCTGTAATTCTTGTGCTTATCTTTACATTGCACCCCTATTATATGCTAACTGCAGTCTTAAGAGCGAATTTACTGGATTCTCTACTCCATCTAACAGGCTGCATTTTCAAAAACCGTGTATATAGCACATGCACATACACACAAATATTTCTGTTTCTAAGGATTTGCAGTTTACACGTAGTATATAATTTAATACTAGTAGCATATATCTAGTGATACTAGTTACGCTCATCAGAACATAATGTTGCCACAATTCAAGAGCAGCACAAGCAAAAATGGAAATGAGTGAGAATATTTCACCCACCAGAAAGCAAATACATAGTCAGTGGCACATTAACAGCAACTGAGCAACTACAGCAATTGTGGCCTGCTCCCTGTAAAGCAGCAATATTGCAGATAGGTAATAAGTGGAAAATTTAATATTAAAGATTAAAAAATTTAAAAAAAAAAAAGAAACTGTAACACAGGATACCACTGCTAGAACAGTATTCACTTAACATAGCTATACTTAAAAAACCCCAATCAACAGAGAGGCAAAAAATCCCTGCAAGCAGCACTGAATACTGACAATTCAGGTATGGACCTATCCTGTCTGTCTGCAAGAATTCTGTAACATTTAGACACTGAAATTCACTGTATACAGTAACACTCACAAACAGTAGAGGTTTTATTTTACATATAAACTCAAATTGCATTCACAAATACTACACAGAGATCAATAAAAGGACCTTTCGCTAAATAGCAAGATTTTTTTTCTTTTCCCTACTTTTGATCTTTGACTCTTTAGTATGCAGATATTTTATAAGTCCTTAATATCGAGGTAATTTTGGTACATTTAAAAATTATAACTTCCACCAGAAATAGGTAATTTCCTTTATTTAATACCATTAAAAAGCATGCATATTAAGACAAATAGATGAGAAAAAAAAAAAATTCTTAATGCACAAGCCCCTTCTCTACCTTTAAAAATGGAGGAGCTCCGTTTACAAACATAAACAAACCCGGTGGTGTCATACTAGAATCAGCTTCACAACCTTATCGTAAGGGATCTCCACCTGCTTCAGCTATAAGCCGAATAACCAAGCTATAAGAACCAAGACATCGTTAATGTAAAATAGTAATTATTACCAAGCTGGCATCGCAAGATCAGAGTCCAATACAGACATTTTGTACCTTGGTGCTGGATAATGTTACTTGAAGCATCAGCCTAATAGCCGGTTTATTCATAAGGCACGCACTAAAATGAAACAAACAGTAATTAAGTGCTGTCAGTGACCTAGTTAGCTACACAAGGAGCTCGATCGTCCTGTCATTCATTACAGGTTCGCCGGAATCCGACAGGAACGGTCCCGTCCGCCCGGGCAGCGCGGGAGCGGGGGCAGCGCCAAGGCCGCCTGCCTTGGCCTTAGCCTTCCCCTCCCCCGCGCCGCAGCTCCGGCAGCTCCGCGCTGGGATAACG